AATCAGCGCAGACACATTTGACTCTCTCCTGCTTTCTCACTAACTTTATCTCCATTCATTCCCAGTGGCTTCTCCCTCTTTCAACGCTCCTGACCTCCAGGACTTAGTTTCTTAGGGGAGCCTTGTTTTGTTCATCACTATCAACTTTCTGCTCTTCATTTCAGCTAGAATGCTCGCTTGTTTTCCTTTGCTTGGCCTCTTTTAACTTAGACACCTCAACAGGCCAAAGTCTGAAAACAGAGGGTTGGCAAAATGTCTTATCGCCTTTCACAGGAACAGGGAATGATCTGTTGAATCAAAAAGCCACCACTTGTTGAGTTCTTACTAAGTGTGCAACTTAGTGTGATAATCAAGACTGTACAGACACGGTCTCATTCAACATCTCAGGAGGTAGACCTTTTGGTTCAGTGGTTAAGTGTCTGGCTGCTAACCAAAAGGTCAGCAGTTCGAATCCACCAGCTGCTCCTTGGAAACCCTATGGGGCAGTTCTACTCTGTCCTATAGGGTCACTATGAGTCAGAATCGACTCAGTGGCAATGGTTTAATACAGTGAGAAGCCCTGGTGGCGCAATGGTTAAAGCGCTCAGCTGCTAAATGAAAGGTTGGTGGTTTGAATCCAGCAGCTGCTCCACTGGAGAAAGATGTGGCAGTCTGCTTCCGTAAAGATTACAGCCTTGGAAACCCTATGGGGCAGTTCTACTCTGTCCTAAAGGGTCACTGTGAGTCAGAAGCAACTCAAGAGCAACAGGTTTGGTTTAGGATACAGATGAGGAACCTGAGGCTACCAGAGATTACATGACTTGCTCAAGGTCCTGGAGCTACTGAAGCGCAGGAGGCTGGAATCCAGTCCTGTCTGAGTCAAAAGATCCTGCTGTAATCATAAAGCTGCTATTCTCGGGAGGCTGAAGATTTCAGTCTCTGGACTTTCTCTTCTAGGATGATGAAATGTTCACCCAATCATGTATCCATGAAATATTTGAAAGCTTGCCATGTGTGCCACACTCTGTGGATTCACTCTTGATTAACTATCTTCTGTGTAGACATGTAAGTCCTATTAAAATGTGAGCTCCGTGAGGTCACAGAAGATTTCTTAGTTAATCAAGAGTGTATTCATAGAGCGTGGTCCTGTCACATGGGGTTGCTGTGAGTCGAAAGTGACTCAACGGCACCTAATGACAACAACAGCAGACTTGTAAGAAAAGAAGTGCAATAAAATATCACATATGACAACAGTCTCAACAAAGGGTACTGGAATCCAAAGGTGTAAAACTCCTTTGAGCTGGTATAGAGCACAATGGCAGTCCACAAGTTATATCCAGCCCACAGGTACTTTTTTATTACCTCCTCTGATTTCATATAATATTCTCAATTTTTAGCTCTTATAATTTGGCCACCCTACCCACATAGCCATAATCTGTTAGAACTGCAGAGGGCCTCTGTACTCTCCGTTCCCCTGATCCCACAGCCTGGCCCTTACCTAGTCCTGTCACCCACCTGGTCCCTGGAGGCACTTTGAGCTTGCAGCTCCTGAATTATAAACTCCCTCTGGGGTAGGGACTACATTACCGTTGTCTGTATGCTGTAATCTATGTAGGGTAGAGCTACGCAAACAGCTTGGGAAATAGAAACAAGGGCAAAGAGCAAGACTGTCTTTGCAGCTGTAGCCCCCGGTTTGATAAACTGACCCTGGTCTTTGGTTAATCAGCCAAATGATAAGGATGAGGGATGTTTGCAAGAGGAATTAATATGCACCACAATGTCCCCAGATACAATACAAAAGGATGGCAGAGGGGTGCATTGGATAGAATATTCAGGTAGGAGCCAGAGGACCCAGTTCTAGGCCCAGTTCAGTGGCTCTCCAGCCTCTTGACCTCGGGCAAATCAGTTAAACTTTCTGAGCCATTTCCTCATCTGAGAAAGGAGGCTATTACCATCCCAGATATCTCCTCAAGATTGTTGTGAAGAGCAGACAAGACATGTGAAAGTACATTGAGAAGTGAAAACTGCAATCTAAATGCAAGGTAGTGGTGAATTAGGGTATTATATTAAAAAGCCAAATGAAGGCTAAAATTAAAACACCAAAATTCTCTTACAGATGTAGCCCTCCACCCTGCTGGTCCCTCCCCTCCAGCCCCCTGTCCTTTACGAATCATAGCCATTAGGAACTACTTTTCCAGTCGGAAGAATTTAAGGTCCCACACTCTGACACCACGCACACTGTTTGTCATTTCTGTATATCGGTTCTGACCACTTCCTGGGAACAGTGCTAATAAAACCTGCAGCCATGGTTACAGAGAAATACATTGGTTACACAGTTCTCATTTTCATTCTTCAAAACTTCAGAAAGATATTGGAGCTAATGTTTGTGGGTGTAGTAAAGCACCTAGGTAGAGTTTTATTTTTGGGAAGTGTGAGCAGAGGCTCTGAAGTCATCTGTGTTACAGGCGGTTGGGGTGGGGCCGTGCCATTTCTGTTGCACAAATAAACCAAAGGCCTGCCTCTGGGCGACTCCCATAACTGAGGTGTTAGCCTTCAAACATCATATCCTCCCGAAGGGAAAGAGGGGTTTTTGAAAAAGCAGGACAACCAAGCACTTGTGTGACTCAAGGTCTCCCACACAGGTGGTAATTGAAAAATAAATCCTAAGTTTAAAGTTACATAATTCTCTTCAATACTAGAGAAGGGAACGCAGAGTTCTGCAAACTTTGCAGCCATAATTGAATGCCTTATTTATTTTTCTCTGTGGTAGTGGGGGAGAGGCGTATTGGCTGGAATAGTTTAAAACTAATGGTGTGGCAAAAAATATACAATTATGCAACTCCAAATCAATACAGATACAGTTTTTATTTTCCTTCCCATTTCCTCCCTTCATTTAAAGTTAACGAAAGTTCAGGGCAATTAAAAGCCAAAAGCTACCTTATGAAGGCTTAAAATGTAAAGGCCAAATCATAGAGGGAGTGAACAGAAATATTCTCATTCCAATAATAATTCAGCCCTGCGGAATGCACAATGCGGAATATTTCAGATTCACCAGGCTTTGAGCCGCAGGCTCTGTCCCAGAGGTCGAGCTATGCAGAGAAGCTCTTGTTGCCAGAGGATGAACCCTCACTTTCTGTCTGCATGGGTTTAAATCTGCATCCTTAATGCTGCCTGGAGAGCCCTGGTGGCACAGTGGTTAAGAGCTCGGCTGCTAACCAAACGGTTGGTAGTTCGAGTCCACCAGCTGCTTCTTGGAAACCTATGGGGAAATTCTACTCTGTCCTGTAAGGTTGCTGTGAGTTGGAATTGGCTCGATGGCAATGGGTTTGTTTTTTTTTTTGGAACATTGCGTGTTTTTTTTTTTTTTTTTTTCAGTTTTGATAAATAATAGTCGGTGAATGCAGAGGACATATATGAGTGAGGTCAAGTATTTATTGAGCACCCACTCAATGCAGGCAAGCAGGCTATATTGCCTCAGCACCCCCTTTCTTTGACACAGGTGACATTTTCTCATCCAATGCAGCATTAGATGCCTCTGTGCAGAGAGATTGCTGCCCCTAAGCTTGTCTTATAGAGACATTCTGGAACTGTCATTGGCTTCGCACATCCCTGATCCCCTTAGCATATCTGCCCTCACCCCCAAACATCTTCCTCTCTGCCCCTGAAATATCCTTCCCAAAGTGGCCACAGGTAATTGCAAATATGTGATTTGGAGTATGGAGGGAAAAGAAATTGTTTAAGTAAGGAGTTGCAGGGGCGGGTATCCTATAGATGGAGTCCCTGGGTGGTGTAAATGGTTAACAAACTCGGCTGTTAACCGAAAGGTTGGAGGTTTCAGTCCACCCAGAGATGCCTCAGAAGAAAGGCCTGGAGATCTACTTCTGAAAAATCAGCCACTGAAAACCCTACGGAGCACAGTTCGACTCTGACACACATGGAGTCTCCATGAGTTGGAACTGACTGCGCAGCAGTGGTGGTTTAGTGGTGGAACTCTCACCTTCTACACAGGGTCAACTCCTGGACAATGCACCTCATGTGCAGCCACCACCCATCTATCAGTGGAGGCTTGCATGCTGCATGACGCTGAACAGGTGTCAGCGGCACTTCCAGACTAAGGTGGACTAGGAAGACAGGCCTGGAGATCTATTTCTGAAGATCAGCCAAGGAAAACCCTATGGATCACGAAGGTCTGATTTGCAACTGATTATGGAGATGGCGCAGGACTGGGTAGTGTTTTGTTTCACTGTGAATGGGGTTGCCGTGAGTCAGAGGCCAAACTGACGGCAGCTAACAACTACAACAGCCCTGTAGATACTACACACACACACACACACACACACAGACACACACCCTTTCCCTCAGTGTGTTCCCTTCCACCCCACTCCCATCCCGCCCCTCCCCCCGTGCCAGGAGACCTCAAAGCTTTACGGAAAGCTCTCTGGAACATACTTGGGGACTTGGGAGGTAAGTGGGATGGTGGCACAGGCCAGGGAACTCTGACTTTGTCTTCTAGCTCCCTCCACAGTGTGGTCTCAGGGCTGGGCTGCCTGCAGCCTCGGGCCATTAGGCTTTATTTCCCATGAACAGCCCAGAAGAAATTTTTTGTCAGACCAAACCTCAAGGTATCAGGGTCTTAGAGGAGCAGGACACCAGACTGGTGGGAACGCTTTGATAGAGCACTTCGGTCTGAATGGGTGGTCCTGCCCCTGCCAGTTAGAAGGCAGGCAAGGCTCCTGGGGATGGGAGCTGGCTTGGAGCATCAAGAGGAGGAGCTGGTGTCCTTGTGGTGCCTGACAGGGGAAGGCAGCAGCTTCCAAGCTGTTCTCCTTGGCGGACAGCCTGTGGGGCTCCAGGCCTCCTGTTCTGGTTTTGACTTTATCTTCTATTTGTTTACATTCTTGTAAGTTCTCATATGAACTGAATTAAAAGATAGTTAAAGAGAGTTGGAAATCCAGGAGTGTGGGGGTTGCTCATAGGCTGTGGTAGGAGAAGACGGTTCGAATCCTTGCCCCGTGACTTACTCACTGTGCGTCCTTGGGAAAGTCACTCAGCTGCTTTGGGTCTCGGTTTTTTTCATCTCCAAAATGGGGAATAATCTGGAAGAACATACAAGAAAATGATAGTATGTGTTGCCTCTATGGAAGAAACCGGGGGCAGGACTGGAAGGGAGACTGGCTCTTCACTCCATGCCCTTTGGTAATATCCCGAACGTTTGATCTTGTGCATGTACTTTTTAAAGTAAACAAACAAATAAGTAGTAGCGAATGCCTGCCTCACAGTGTCCTTGTGTCAAAGCAGATAATGCATGTGGATGTGCTCCTAGGCTGTTGCTGTTGTTGTTAGGTGCTGTCAAGTCGGCTCCCACTCATGGTGACCTTATGGCTAACAGAAGGAATCGCTGCCCAGCCCCGCGCCATCTTCACGATTGTTGCTATGTTTGAGTCCACTATTTTGGCAGTTGTGTCAATCCATCTCATTGGGGGTTTCCCCCGTATTCACCAACCCTCTACTTTACCAAACATGATATCCTTTTCTATAGATTGGTTTTTCTTGACGGCATGTCCAAAGTAAGCAAGCAAGCCAAAGTCTTGCCATCTTTGCTTCTAAGGAGCATTCTGGTTGTATTTCTTCTAAGACTGATTTTTTTTCCTGGAAGTCCATGGTATATTTAATATTCTTTGCCAGTCCGTTGGGTGTTAGGAACTATATAAATATTTAGTCATAATTGGTATTTTCCAGACAGACAGGAGCATGGAAGAAATGAAGGCAAGGTGGCCCTGAAATTCTTGGGAAATTTGCTCCCATGCTGGAAGGTCTTCCTGCCTCCAACCCAGAATGAATGATGGACACCCCCTCCTCAGGGGCTTCTCTTTCACCTGCCCTTGCAGTGGGGCTGAGGCCCACCTGCCAACTCAGTGCTGGGTAACCTGAATCCTCTGAGTGCCCAAGTGACCACAGGTTTCCAAAGGCTAGCCGAGCGTGTCCACCCTGCTGAGCAAGTTCTAACAAGCACATTCCACCCACTGCCAGGGGGCTGTGGGGCCGTGATGTTTGGTGTGAGCAGAGGGAGAGGTACCTGCATTTGTCGCTGTCCTCTGAGTGACCCCCAGAGGATTGTTGTATAGACCAAGCGTGAGCTTCCCTTAGGTTGTTTACTGAGTCACTGTAATAAAAATAAAGCTGCAAGCACGTTGTTCTTTATACATGAAGAGGCTAATAGGACTAATAGCAATGATTTGCATCAACAAAATATGCCATTTGAACAATTTTTCCTGTCGTTGCATATGGATTTAATTTCAAGAAGTCTTAGTTAACTATCTACTATGTGATCAAAATGATGCTGAGGGGGAAACAAAGAGAAGTATAGGAACTGACTCCTAGCCTAAAGAGTTTCTTAATGAAGCCCAGAACAGTAGAAATCCTGCTCTGCTAGAACCTCCAAAGCCTTGGGCTCCTTGTGTGTAAGACAGGAAGATAATAATAACACCAACTTCACTCACCATCCAGTGTTGTCATGAAAGTCAAATAAGAATATACCTGAGAGGTCTTCGTAAACTGAAAATGCTTTGCAAAATTTAATTTTCAAAAATAATAATAGCAATTACATGCTAAAGTGAATATCAGAAAGTGCCAAAATGAACGCAGTGTTAGGAAGGAGATGTGGGGAGAAGAGGGATTTCGTTTGTTAGAAAGATCAATGTTGGCTGAAGTTTTAAGGGGGGACCACATGGAGGAGATGGAGGTTATGCTGGCCCCTGCACTGGATGTTATTGCATGGAGAGGCTGGTGGTCCTAATGGGGAAAAGAGGCAGTAGTGGGGTGCGGGGGGAGGTGAACTACTACACAGGACAGCTAGAGCAAAGTTACAGAGGCTGCTTGTACATGATCTGGGCCAGGAGGGCAACGAACGTTCCTTCTGAGGAAGACTGAGAGATGAGGTTCCTACAGGCAAAGTTGGTGAGATGACAGAGGGCTTTGAAGGTGTAGGAGTTCCTGGGCGGGGTAAACGGTTAACATTCTTGACTGCCAACCAAAAGGTTGGAGGTGCAAGTCCACCCAGAGGCACTTGGGAAGAAAGTCCTGGTGATCTACTTCTGAAAAATCAGCCATTGAAAACCCTATGGAGCACATTTCTACTCTGACATGTGGGGTCATCATGAGTCAGAATCAACTCGACGGCAACGAGGAACTGGAATTGAAGGTCTGATGTAGGTTTGGTGCAATGGGCCCCAGGGAGATCTAACAGCATCCCTGCTTCAGCGGCCACATTCTCTTACCTGATCCCTCTCACAACCAAAAGTCTGCCTTTGGCCAGAGCTCAGGATTATGCAGGATTAAACCCCCAACCCTGGGCTCAATGGCAGTCTGCCCTAATCAGCCAGGCTCAGTACGTAATCACAGATACTACAAAAAAGAAAAAAAAAAAAAAAACCTATTAATAGCATACTTTCTTCCTTAGACAAAATCTGATTATGAGCTGAAATGAAATATCACCAAACCAGTCAGAATGAAACTGCTATTTATTTCATGATCCCTTGGGAATGGGGGGGTGGGGTGGGGTGGGGGATAAATACATCAATACGATCACTTAACTAGTCTTCCCACTGACACCCAAATGGCCTTGTGCTTATTGATGACTGGGGAAAATCCTATCACAGACCCTGTACTTACAAGTCATTTTAATTTTTTAAATGCTCTTGCAAACATTTCTTCATTCAATCCACTGGAATGTAGGGAGGGGAGGGGTTTCGTTTCTTGTCCTGTTTCACAGATGAAGAAACCGAAGAGCAGAAAGGCTGAGCAGCTTCTGCAAACTTATAAAGCTAGTTACTGGCCAAGGGAAGGCAAAGTCCATTTTCCAGCTTCCCAGTGTGGTGCTCTTTTTTTAAAAAATTTTATTGGGCTTTAGGTAAAAGTTTACCGCTCCAGTTAATTTCTCATTCAAAAATTTATACACATATTGTTTTGTGACACCGGCTGCAATCCTCACAATGTGACAGCACACTCCCTCTTTCCACCTCGGGTTCCATTTGTCCAGTTCCTGTCCCTTCCTGCCTTCTCATCTTGCTTTTGGGCAGGACTTGCCCATTTGGTCTCAGTTATTTGAATTAAGAAGCAAAGGAAGTAAGTTCCTCACGTGTTGTTTGTTTTATAGGCCTGTGGTGCTCTTTTTGCTACACTAACTCCTAAAAAGAAACAAGAGGAGAAACAATGGCAACCCACAGTTTTGAAATGGAAAAGCTTTCCGTTCCTCAAACTGTGAAATTTGTAGTTTCTCTCTTGCTTTGGGGCCTCAGACAAGCTTCTCTATCTGGAACCCACAACTCTTCTCCAACCGCACCCACAACTGCCACCACTGAATCTCCTTGCCTCCATTTATCCTTTAAATTGTGCCTGAAATATCATTCCCCCTGGAAACTTTCCTTGACACCATTGAAGTTTAGGGCCCCTGCTCTGTGCCCCTCACTGTACCTATGCTTTTACCACGGTCCTTAATCTGCTTTATGGTAATTGTTTATTTAATCATCTTTCTTCCTTTCTAGAAGGAATCCACTGCCATCACTGCATCCCTAACATCCGAAACATATTTTGCCCTTGGAAAATATTTGCTTGAATTAATATATGAACATTTTTACAGCTGAGGAAACTGAGGATTACTGAAATTAAACTACTTGCCCGCAGTCTCACAGGTAATACATGATAGGGTGGCAATTCTAGGCCAATTCTAAATACCCAGTGCTTGTTCCACTCTGCCATCCTGGTTTGTAGGTTCACACATAGCATTACTGTCAGATAGAAGAAGGTGCTTCGGGGGAAAAAACATTCACCAATTGGAATGTCAATGTTCTGGGTTTGGAGAGCTCCTTCCAACTGGGCAGTGTGCTTTGATGCCAGATATTTTGGGAGATTCCAGAGTGCAGGCATAACCTACAGGCTTCTTTTGGTGACTGGCTACTTCTGAATCTCCAGTGAGGATCTCAGTGCCAAGAAATAGAAATGGAGCAGCCGACAGACCTGACTCCCAAAGACTGTTGACATCAAATGGGGTGCCATATTGAATATGAAGATTACATCACTTGAATGTGAGACCATCCCTGTGGTGGAAAGCCTTGTGTTTGGTTGTGTTCCTGACATTTCAGTGTTCATGAAGTGATATCATTTCATTTGGTAATTTCCTGTTGAGAAGAGGATTGAGTAGAGTATGCGTGTGTCTTATTACCTCACCATTATTATTAGCTGGAACTCTCTTTGCCAGCTTTTTCCTTCTTTCATGGAGCTTGGGTTGTTGACACGATTGAGGCTGAGGAAGCCAAGTACTGCCATGTCAGTTCTCTGTAGTTCAGTACCAGACAATATAATTCGATTCAAATTTATTGAGTATTTACTATGTGCAGGAGGAACGTCTTTCTTTTCTAGGCTTTCCCAGACAATGCTCCTAGAGACAAGTAGAAAATTGGCCAACTGTCTAGGTAAGGGATTGAAAATTGAACTACAGATACAGTCTGTGAACTTAAGGAATTTATTTTTTGTTGGGGAAATGGACAAGCACAGGAGAAGTACTATAAAGCATGACTAGTTAAGTGTCCCAATGGGAATTCATACAAAAGGTTGTGGGAGCAGCAAGAAGGATGCTGTCCCTTCCAAGGAGGAATCTAGGGAGGGCTTTGAGAATGTGTGATTTGAGTTGGCACCTGCAGGGTGAATAGGGCGTTTAAAGGCATTGAGGATGGGAAAGAAAGGGGATTCCATGCTGCTCAAGAAAGCACAGCTAGCTCAGAAGAAGAATCCAAACCAGGTGGCCCAGGCTCCGGCCAGGTCTGGAGGCTTCCATCCTCCCACTCCTACTCAGTAATACCCCAACAGCTCGCTCCACTGACCCTCAGCCCTTCTCCTAGCTAGCTGCTCTAATCCACACATTCCAGTGAGCTGCCCCGTGGGGTGGTGGGGATTCCTCAAGGTCAAGGCCCCAAGGAGGGCTGCTACTAGGAAACTTTTCTTTCGCTGCACCTCATTACTGTGTTATGACCAGGAACAGGGCTAGGGAGTGACTGATGGCATGCTGGGCCCAAGGGCGTTCTTCATGTTTCACCATGAA